ACTACCATAAATTTGTATCATCTACGCAGCAATAAATTAAGGATCCGAATTCTTTACAGAATATTCGTAGCTCAATTTAAGTCTACATGATTCATACAGCCTCGACTCAATAGCAATGAGTAAGTTCGGTGACTTCCCTTGCTAGATTTACTTATTCATCTATTATATGTTGGTTTGCAGCACAAACGGTGTAAAATCGTTTATACAGAGCTGACAATTAGAGTATAGTCTACTGATTGAATATCAAACTATCGCGAAACACTTTCAGTGAAATGAACGCTAGCTACACACAACTCATTGTACGTTTATTAACACTACCGACGGTTTTCTTTGTTTGAATCACATGGGTGAAATATGTCATACAGAAATACCAAGCGAAAATTTACAACTTACTTATCGTACTGTATTGTAGCCACAAAACGAACATATTGAACTCCATCGCAAACGGCATGGTCGTCGATTCGATCATTATGAAAAACAGTAATATAAATAGGTCTTTTTTTTCCCTTTATTTCTATTCTTTTTCTTCTAGAAAAAAGAAAGAAGGACGTTTGCCACATATATTATCTAAAAAAGCTCAAACATTACGTGGCATAAAGTAAATAATCGCATTCCAACTTTTCACAAATTCTATTATTTATTCTATTTAGAGCTAAGTTATATAACAAACGTCGTCAAAATGAAAAAATTCAAATGAAAAAAACTATCAAAAGTCACGAAGAAAAAGAAACAAAACAACGACAAGAAGTACCAGAAGGTGCTTTACCAGCTTATTTACTCGATCGTGAAAAACAAAGTCGAGCAAAAATTTTATCGAATACTATTAAACAAAAACGAAAAGAAAAAGCGGTATAGTTCTTTTCATTAAAACTTCTTTTCTTAAAAAAATAAGAATATGTTTGTTTATAGGGAAAATGGGATGTACCAATACCAAAAGTAAAAGCAGTTAGTGAAGCAGAAGTATTTCGAGTTGTTCAATCAGGAAAACGACGAAGTATAAATATTTCTTTTTAAAATATTTACATTCAATTATTTATAATAATACATATAGAGAAGGCATGGAAACGACTTGTAACAAAACCTTGTTTTGTTGGAGAAGGATTTACTCGAAAACCACCAAAATTCGAACGATTTATTCGACCCATGGTAAATCATTTTGAAAAGTTATTCTTCATTGTAGAATAATTCTTCATATAGGCATTAAGATTCACTAAAGCACATGTTACACATCCAGAGTTAAAAGCAACTTTTCAATTACCTATTATCGGTGTTAAAAAAAATCCAAGTTCACCACTTTATACATCCTTAGGTGTAATCACTAAAGGAACAGTTCTTGAAGTAAGTATTTTCTCGTTTTCAAAAAGTAATGAATCTGACTATTGGTCGAATAACTTTTAATTAGACTAACACAGAGACCTGGAGTTTTCGCCATTCAAGAGAGAAGACCCAGGATCATCTACATATGATGAAGTCTGATTGGTTGACAACTGGCCAATCAGGTGGCTTCTTTGCGGAGATTTTGAAAAGGATTTTTTGAAACAGTTTCACATTAGAATTGGGCTTAGAATATGACCAACAAGTAGGAGAATTTGTCCTTTTTGACTTTATCTAAGCCACAATTTTCTAGCATGTTCTGCTTCAGAGTTACGAAAGTTTTTCGAAACCTCCGGTTTCAAAAAATTCACTCTCGAAAGACTTCAAAAGAGCTCAAGCCAGGAATACTCTATTATGCTGACTCGAATAGTGATGTTTGCTTTTAGTTTCAAAGCGATCTAAGACTACTTTTTCAGTATTTTTGAAATTTCAAAAATTTTCCCTACACAGTGGAAACATCGAAGTTCTAAAAAACTCGGAAACATAGTACTGAAATCAAATATCACCATTCGACGCAATATGACGAATTATCATGTCTTAAGCTCATTTGGAGTCTTTCAAGATCAATTTACTAAAATCGGGAGTCTTGAAAAAACCTTTGTAACTCTGAAACGGAACATTCTAGAAAGTTGAAGCTGGCAATAGATCGAAAAGTAAGAATCTTCCCATCGGTTGATCAAATTCTAAGTCAAAACCAAATGCGTCATGGCTTTAGAATACATTTTTCGAAATCTTCACAAAGAACTCACCTCACATGATTGGTCAGTTGTTGACCAATCAGAGTTTGTCATAAGTAGATGACCTAGAACATTCTCCATCGAATGGTGAAAATCCCAGTTCTCTATGCTAGTCTAATCAAAAGCTATTTAACGAAGAGTCAAATTCATTACCTTTGAAAACCATATTGATTATATCGAAACATATATATATATATATCAAAACTTGATTTATTTTCAATTAGGTTAATGTTAGCGAACTTGGGATGGTTACACAAGGTGGCAAAGTTGTTTGGGGAAAATATGCACAAGTAACAAATCATCCAGAAAATGATGGATGTATTAATGCTGTACTTCTTGTTTAATCATTTTGTTGTTTTCTGTTCGAATAAACTAAAAATAGCATCGTTTAAGAAATTGTTTTGAAACAAAGATTGTGACAAAACTGATAATGCAAAAAGAAAAAAGAGAAATCAAAAATTGAATTTATCAAGAAATGAAGCGTTTTTTTACTCAAATAAACGAATGTTTTAAATTTATTTAAAGAACATAGGAAAATGTATTTCATATAACGAATGGAATTATATAGAAATGTATTGATCTAAAATTTTTCTGACACTCACAATTACAATTTTGACAACCTTCTTTGTTTATGGAAGTTTAATTTTGCACAGAGGTATAGATGCGACACTATTATGATTATTTGATATAAAAAAAGGTCATTTTATAACATCGTTGAATAGAGAGCCTATAGCGTTTACTAAGGTATATATCTATGAAAGGGTTTAGCCGCACAATTATAGTTTATTGTATTGGAAAAACTCATTGTAATGGGATGCACATATTAACATTTTCTGTTAATCTTCAATTTGCGACTCACAATGTAATGATAATTTTATTTGTTTGGCATGTCGCCACTTGCAATAGAAACGAACGAAACACTTTTTACCAATATGACTCTCCTTTATTTCTTTACTTCCTTTGAAAACGTTACAATCCATTGAAAATCAAACACATGCTTATCAACTGTGCAAATATACTTCAACCATAGCACAATATGCATCTGTTTTCTACTCCACAAAACAAAATGAACTAAGAAAAAAGTCATTTTTATGATGTCACCATCTCATTTGAATACTGTTTCATAATAATTTGCTTCTAAGATAACTGTAATTTTACTCAAATTTTTATACAGAATTGTTTCGTTTTGACGACCTCTAGCCTAATATGAAACGACTTCTACATGTCTGTAGTTATTTGACATATCAGCTTCTATCTCTTTAAAAAGTAATCGGCCCTATGTTACCTCATATTGGCCAATCAGACTTCTTCGTTAAAATAGCCAACAAATCAATATAATTTTCCTTCGGCACATAGACGTACTCGCGATGAATTGGACGCCGTCTTTCTTTAGACAATGGAATGAAGTAAAATTGGCTTCTATCAGGTAATAATTCGAGTTTGAAAGTATGATTTGTTTACTTCAGCATGTACAATACATCTTTTCAAAACTTGTGATAGAGAACAGGATTGTCACTTCTTTCACTGTTTCGTATGAGAAATTTTGGTTTCTTCTTTTTATTGAAAAATTTGAAGCAATAAAATTTGTTGATACTGAGTAAGTTGTAGTAGGTGTCGTCTACAATCAATTATTGCCTATAGGATACATTTTATATTCTATTTCAGCAAGCAACGCCATTCCGAAAGTTTTTTTTTCCGGAAGTGAGACATTTGTCCAATAATTTTTATAATTGAACACTAGTAGACTCGACAATTGCAGAAATATAAATTCGTTGAAACACTTGATTACCGCACAAACATCTTTTGTCTCAAAATGAACTAATAACTGAAATTCATTCAAACAGAATATGTAACCAATGTGTTTTCCATAAAGAATGAGACACTTTGATTTTTTTTATTCCGAAGACACCGGTACAGTTTAAAGACACCTTTCTAAATTCATTCGATCGAGCGTTTTTTGCTCTGCACAATGGTTGACTTTATTCTTCAAATAAGCTTCTGCTGTCGCAGAAAAATCGAAAAGATTGACAGCCGCTCAGCCTTTGAACTGCAACTGTCAAGCAACAAAACAATTATTAAAAATATGTTTAAATAACAGTGCCGCCGAAATTCTAATTATACTTTAAGATACGTCATGAACTGTTGCATCTCACGATGTCGTTCATAGAGTACACTAACTTTTGAAAACATGAGTTTCAAAAGAGTATTCAAAACAAAATACAACCAACTTTTAGTTCAAAGCCTTTAGTATTTGAACGACATCGTTAGGAGCCTTCAGAAGATCTTGAGAGAGTATAGAGAAAAATAAATTCTCTATCTCCTGATGTTAAATGCTGTACATTTAGCATAGAACTTGATGAGCATAAGCTTGCATAAGTCAGTATATGTCGGCAGAAGATCGCAGTTAAGCAGCTTTCAATCTTTTCAATTTTCCGTCAACAAGAAAAAGTTATTCGGACAATGAAGTCCACATTTTTGAAGAGAGAAAAATTCTCTACTGAATGAACTTACAATGATGTCTCCATTCGTCGAGAATGAAATCTCAAATTGTCCTATTACTTATGGGCCACCCGTTACATTGAAAACATGATTTGCTTAATAAAATATCTATCTTCATCATGTATTATTTATTATGTTTTGGAACTTTGAAAATAAAGAAGTGTCATGAAAAGAAGCAACAAGTTATTAAAACCTATGGAAATGTGAAGAGACTACAAAAGCCAGCTTTTCGCTTTTCTGCTCTTTACCGATGAACAAACAACAATTTAAAAACATAAAGCCTTTCTTTTCATATTCACAATATTCTTTCTTTTATTTCAAAAAAAAGAAGAACCAAATATTAAAAAAAAAACAAAACAAAGAATCGTTAATCAATAATCTCACATCGGTTCATTTTAGTGATGTTCTTTTAGTATCATCTGTACGAAAATCTGAATCATTACCAATAATTGTTGTTCTTTTCTCTCTCTGTTCTCCCATTAAGTTTGATTTTATTGTTCGATCATCGGCATCACGATGACTTGATAAAACAACATCCGAAAAACGTGATTTTTTTGTTATATCTTTTCGTCGTTCATTTTGATGATCATTTTCAGGTGTTATTGTCGTTGTTGTTATACGATGATCCATATCTTGATTAAGAAAACGATAATCAACATCGTTATATTCACTTATAGATAATTGTTTTTTCTGTTTATCATCTTGTTCATCATCAACTTCCATATTTTCTTCATTTAAATTATCACCAGTTATAACTGCTTTAGTCAAAGTAGTTTCTTTTGATAGTTTCCACTCCGACATAATAGTATGTAGATCATTAGTAAATCGTGCACATAAATCTTCACGTCCACTGGATTTTAAAAGTTCCATTGTAGACATAACTGTCGGAGTGATAGTATCAACTGATGTAGCATGACGAATATGATCAAAGGATTCAGATATTAACTTGAGTAAATCTTCAGTGGAGCTAAAAGAAAAAAGTTTTAACCAAATGAATTCTCACCAGAGATATGTGCACCACCCGTGGCGACTGGACAGCCACTGCGGCCTCACTTATCTTCTTATTTGTCCACCGGGCGGTTGTACCTTAATCATACCAAGTGGTAAACTCTATTACTAGGAATTTTTAAAAATGAATATTCGTCAAATGCTGAAAAGTTAAGAAAAGGGATATAATCATTGACAGATTCATTCTATTTAAGATACTGTTTGTTTTATTACCCCATTTCATACTCATCAGTCAATTTTATAAATGGAATCATAATTAATGTTGATTAAAAATCATTCTAACAACAAATTGACCTAACTCAAAGCTCATTGAATTTGATAGTGACAATAATAAAATAAATTTATTTTAAATTAAGGTTGCGCAAATTTAGCTACGAAATAAATTAAGACGGAAAGGAACATCTTATATGTTTACATATAAAGAGTGAGCCAGAAATGATGATGTAATATGCGAATTTCTTAGGATATTTACATATTACGTCGTCACTTGGACGAGATAAATCCAGTCAGAACTTCTGATTCACCCTTTATATGTTCAGTTACATCTTACCTAATGATTCAGAAATGAAGCACTATTTTTTAAGAAATGCTATCAAGCAATAAATATGAGGAAAATTTTATTTTTCAGTTGCTTCTAGGCGCAGATGAGTCGTCGATCGAGAAGACTTATGGCGATGGCTCCTTGCATCTTTATCTGGCGACCGTCGCTACGAAGGGAAACAACAAAGATTTCGAGCGTAAAGTCACATGAAATCTGCTGTTTTCCCATCACGTCGCTCTCACTTCGTCTGTTAGACGAGCTGTACATCTTTGCCTCTCACTATAATACTCATTAGTTGTAAAAGTCATACTCTTCACTTCAAGCTACATTTTTCTGTATATTTCCCTGTGTTCCCACCACCTGCCTATGGTTCTACAAAAAGATGTGACATCATTCGTCGTATGTCAGATTTAGCTCGTAGCTTATCAAATGAAATAAGTTAGTATAATTTTCTAAACTTTAGTCAAACATATCACTTACTATTCGGTGGGAATTGCTTTTGTATTAGTAGTGTATGTGGGCTGTGGTATTGAAAGATTGGCATTACCAGTTGGCATTGTTTCTGTAACATTACTTCCACTTTGTCGTGGATCTTTATTTCTGGATAAACGAGGATCTCGTATAGGTGCAGTCTCTTGCAATGAAACGGGTTTATAAGTTATATTACTCAATGACTGACTTTGATTTGGACGATTTAACGGTTTTGTTCGTTTTCCTGAGCCAATAACAACAAGAAATAATTGTTTTGGATCAATATTTGTTGATAAAGAAAATGTTGATATGACATTTAATGGACAATCTTTTATATCAGCTGCCAAAACGTACATATCACGAATTAATGATGGATCTGATCGTTTATTAATAACAGCAGCTCGTCCTGATGCACGCATTGTGTCAACATATCGTGAAAATCCATTACTTTCATTATTATTTGATGATATAAGTGTTAAAATAATCACATCACGAACAGCAATAGACTCACGAACATAATCCCAAAGATCACCGAGTCGAAGTCGTCCAAGAATACCAAGTTGCTCTGGAATGTCTCCAATAAGATAATCACTTTCACCATAAGTACGTACTAATTGACATGGAATTTTAGCATCAGGTGGAAGAATAACACCACGCCATTGATTTGTTACACTTGATGAACGAGCAATAGGTGTTGGTTGATACCTATTGAAAAGCCAAAAAAAGGAATACATCTTTTTTTTTTTGAAAAGGTAAATTATTTTATTTACATTTGTGCTGTATCAATTTTAGATTTTGATGCAGCTAAAGGATTATAATCGTCACGAATTGGTTGTGGTGCTGGTGGAAGACATTCATTATTATCACCGGGTGATTCGGGATGTTGTTGTTGAACTATTGATGATCGAGAATTCAGGCTGATATTATTCAAATCATCATCATCATCGTAAAGTAAGGCATCAATGCCTGTTGGACTTTCTGGTTCGATGTAATCATTATCAAGATCAACTGCTGGAAATACAACATTTGATGCTTCATTGGATTCTTCATGAACTGGTGGTGTAGATGGAAGTTTTGGAGGTTCTTCGACAGTTTTAATGGGTATCGGTTCAGTCGGTTGAGGAATCGTTTCTAAAACTACCAAAAATATTCTTGCTCATCAATAGGAATTAGTGAAAATAAAAGAAATCTGAAATGATTGATTTCAAAAGTCTGACTGTCTTATTAGATCTCAATCTCTATTTAGACATCTTTAAGTAAATTTAAGGCGAAATTTTCAGTTAAAATAATCAATTTCTTTTCGAAATATTGTGCAACCAAATTCCAAAAACTATGGGAAGCAGAATTCGTCAGATCGATCCAGAACTGGGTCTAATAGTTTTGAGCTCGATGGGTGGTAATGACATATTCTCTCGTTAGATTGACTGAGAGTGAATTTTCAGCTATTTATAGCTCTCTTTGAATTTTTACCAGTAGGTATTGATGGAGATGGTTTTGGAGATGTTGATTTTGTTGGTATTGTATTTGCACATATTGAGCAATTGATATCAAATGTATGTTGACCATGTGATGATGTTGTATCTTTATTGGGTGTAGATGTTTGAACTTTCGGTTTAGGTTTTGCAGCTGGTTTTTGAGCAGAAGTCGAATTGATTGGTTTCTTTGTTTTAATAATAGGTTTTGAAGTTTTATTATTTTCTGTCTTTATCGTTTCACGATTTGTTTTAGATGTACTAGAAGATTTTGATTCTTTAGATTCATTGTCTTTGTAGTCAGTTGAAGTTTGTTCGGTCTTTAAATATAAAAATGGAATAAGATAATGATTTATTTGTTTTTTTTTTCAGAAAATTTTCTTACGCCTTTAAATGCAGATAAAGCTGCATCATTATCAACAAGACCTTGTCGAGTAATTTTAGTTCGAGCCCTTCTTGCCATTTCTTCAGCTGTTTGTTCTTCAGCTTTAATTATCATTTGAACTTCTTTTTCAAATTCATCTTTACGTTTTTCTTTTTCCTCTATTTAAACAAAAAGAAAAACAATTATATATTACATTCGTATTCTAAGAAAACTCTATACCAGGTGGTAACATATCTTCAGCTTTCATAGCAACAATTTGTTTAGCTGTAACTTCTTTTGAAAGTATATATTTATAGAAAAACTAAGAAAAAACGATATAATAATTTTAAAAAAAAGGACTTGTAACAAAAAAAAACTACTTTACATTATTATTCATATTGCTGATATTGGCCAACAATGAACGAAATTTATTTTTATATGAATTATCAACTTTACCATAAACACGATACATTTCTTCTTCAATTTTATCAGATATTATTCGAATGTCTTCATTTGAAATAAGTTTTTCACCACTTTTTTCTAATCTGTAAAAATGTATAATATTAATATTAGATGCATAAAGAAAATTTTTGTGAAATACGATCTAATAGGAGTATTAAAATATAGATGTAGAGATTTGTATCCCATCGTGACAGACATCCTAGCAATGAGTCATCACAGACAGATGTGTGAACCGATCCGCTGTGCATGCACGGTACAAATATCGATATTTGATTTTTTTTAAATTTCCGACATCCCAAATCAGTTTTTGAACATGCTACTGTCTTATTTCTTGTCAATGAATTCTCTACCATTGTTTCCTCTCTTGTTCATTTCGAAATACATCGAATAACTCCAGTTTTCACTTTCGATGATCAATGAGTCTGGTAACATCTCTAATCATATCGTGGCAGACACTTTACGAATGGTTTCCAAGAGGTGGTATATCAATAGTGCCTCGTTATAATATGTGAACTGCTATCTCATGGTATTTATGAAGAATAGAAAAAGAAAATGTGTTTCAGATTTTAATTCCACAGAGATTGTACTACCAGCTTGGTTTTATTTCTATTTACCTCATAATTAGTTTATCAGATAGAGCTTGAGGAACTTTCATTCGAATATCAGCATAATTTTGAATAGTAGATGAACTTGATGTATTAGTCGTTGGTTTTCCAAGTTGAACTGGAGCTTTTTTTATTGGTACTGATTTTGCATTAGGTACAACTGGTGCCCATGAAAGTTTAGGTTTATTTGAATTAGGTGTTGGAGGAGTTTTTGGAGTTGTTGGATTAACAATCGATGGTGAACGTACTAAACCTGTATTTGAAGGTGGTTTTGGTTCATTAGCTGTTAATAAAATTGATTGTCGTAAAGCTGGTTTAACAATCTCATATGATGGATGTTGATTTATCCATGTACATAAATCTTCAATTTTAGGAACTAATTTTCTATCAAGAACTTTTTTTGTTCGATTTTCATATAATAAAATATCTTCGCGAGATGGTGGATTGTCATTATCCTGTTTTAAACAAGGATATAATTATTCAAAATTCCTTTTTTCGTACAAAAAAATAACATACCGTTCCTTTACTTCGTTGAATAGATTGAAGTGTATCATTTATATGACGACGAATACATGCTGGTGAACAATAAACCCAACCGGATTTTGCCCAATTACTACAACCATGTACAATACAATGAATTTGTGGTTCCTATAGAAGAAAAATGAATTCATAGTTATAAAAAGAAAAAGAAATTTGAATACATACTACTAATGGATCACGTTGAAAGAAGATTCCTGTTTTTGGTCGTTTTGATGGCTCAGAATTTGTTAGATTTTTTGATGAAGTAAAATTTCCATTTCTTTCTCCAACTTTACGCTCACTTGGTGAGACAAAATCTATATGTTTACGTTTGATCGTTAATGATTCATCGGATGATCTTCCAGGTTTTATTCCTGAACTTGATGTCACTCCTAATTAAATAATATAGATAATAAAAATATTTTCACATTAAAACATTCAAAAAAATTTCATCTAATCATTGAAAATATCAAAATAATCATGATCTATTATTTTATAATGGTATAATAGTTAGTTCTTTATCGATAAGATATAACCGAACAATAAGCATTTTATTTTGAACTAAAGAAGGTAAGTTCATTTAGAAAAAAGTCTAAGTTTCTGAGAGAATCTCTCGAGGTGTCAAATCGCTTTATGTGTAATAGAAATGTTTAGAATCGTTTGATTTTACGAATCTTCCTTCTTCAGATATAGAAATTTGACTAGATTTTCCCCCCTCACGTTACATAGAAAACTCACTAAGAACTTTGTGCGTGCAAAGTTTCAAGTCGAAAGTCGATTTTCCATGCGACCACAGCTTTTAGTTGAGAATCTCGGAAACGGAAGCCCGGACAACTAAATCATTCTCGACTTTTCTATTACTCATCGAATAAAATTATCTCGGTCGAAAAGCAATTTGACAGCTACAGAAATGCATCTCAAACTTTCACTATTTCAATTCATTCTCACAAAACTTAACGATTGTATATTCACATAAAATATCTTTCAAGCAAAATCCTCCTTGAAGAAATAATGCAGCGAATATAATAGAATATCTCCCTTAATTAATTTCTTGTAAAATCTGAACATAAAATACGTAGTATATTTACATTAAAATATGCGTTGTTTTCAGTGCTTTAAGCTTAAAAACGTTTGAAGACTGAGATAAAATTCTTTTTGCTTATTTTGTTTTTTGAAAAATTCTTTTAATTCAAAAAAATTATAAAAGTAAATGAGACATAATAGAAGATCTCTGCTGGAAAATTCTATGATAGAAGATCCGAAATCTTCTATGGCTTCCATTCATACAATTGAAATTGAATCTAGAAGATTTTTATTCGATCTCATATTGAAATGAAGAATGCTCATTTATTAATTATTCTTTATAAACTATCAAATTCTCTATTACTAAATGCTGCAATTCAAATCTGTTTGATGTTTTATTTAATTATTTATCATACCTTGACATGGTGGACACACGAATTGATCACCACTCATATCAAGAACTCTTGCTTGTTCTTTAGTAACGCCAATACTAAATTAAGAGAAACAAAATCATTGAAGGGAAACGAAAAAACTAACGATCAATAAATTTCTTTACCAATCTCCATGATACCAATTAGCACATGAATCACATCGAAGCATAACTCTTGAATGATCCCATGGTTTCTTACATATACACCAAAGACGGCGATGCATTTGCTCAGTATCATCACTTGATTTATCATTTTGTTGAACTAACATTTCATTATTTTCTTCATTAGCATTTCTATCTCCTTCTTCATCTTCATCATCATTAAATCCTATATTAGTCGAATTTTTACTACTACGATCATTCTTTTCAAATAATGTTGGGCCACCAAGTGCCCACGTAGATTGTCGAAGTTCATGTGCATCATAGAGACCTCTTTCAAGATCACGATAATTTAATTTTGGTCGATTATTTCGTTGTGGATATGATTTACGACTTCGAAAAGTGAATGGATCATCTTCATCTTCTCTAAAATAAAATAATTATTTGTATTTTATGTATCCAAATAAAAGAAAAAAATTTACTGTAAATAGTTTGATGAACTCGTGTCTTTATTACTATTATTATCGGATGTACGGTCATCGTTCGGTGGACCTACAATTCAAAAAATAAAAGATTCATATGAAATGACTGATAAAATTCAAATACACGAATGTGTCTGATACAATATTATGGTTGTTATAAGAGATTTTCACACCTGTTTTCATAAGATTAAACATGTATGACAAAAACAACAAGATAAGAAAACTCTATTATCGTAGTAGCAATGAATTATTTCTTTTTGGAAATAAAGTTTGGCGCGAAATAATCATTATAATGTGAAAATAAATAAGAGATTTTACTGAAATAACATAAAAAGTGATTTCATTTGTTTTTTACATAGATACTTTCCTCATATGCATAGTTGTGTTTGATGTCGCACGTGAAACAAAACTCATTACTTGACTAGGATCATTTTCATTATATTAATTCATCTGATATTAGTTTTGATTTAGACAGTTTGAATTTATAAATGAAATCTTATGCGGGTCAAAATAAGAAATAAATTACATCAAATTGAGATAGAAGCACTACTATCGCATATCAAGAAAATTGAAGATGCGCCATCTCTATAACGAATGAGTTGATCTCTATTGTTCTTATCCTTGAACGTAGTTTTACTAATGTTTAAGCAAAAAAATTATTCTTAATCCAATATCTCATTTGAAATACACGCCATTATTTCTTAGTTAAAATCTTGCAACCAACAATATTGATTAATATCATTGGAATCGAATTGCTTGTTCATGGTCCTATTGATCATTAGATTATCTTTCTCTTCTTCATGATGACTTCAAAAGATTGTTCAAATGTAATTTTGAATAAGCTAAATAGTTCTAGACGACTGATTATCCCGCTTCGCATGGTCTTTTACCATCTTGATAGAGGGCGCCAGTAGTCATCCAAAAGATCTAATAATTCGCATTGCTCCTGTTGCTATCGTGAATATTTTTTTAAATCTAATGGCTTGAAATATTTCGCTAAAGGTTCTTTGAACTACCATATGAACAATAAAATAAGACTGATTATAAAACATCATGTCTTCTTTCTGAATATAGCTTGAATATATGTGCATATATTTGTCAAAAAATTTGATCATATTTGGTTATTTATTTCATTTGATGGAATCCTTACCTTTTGATGTACTAGTAGTAATCATTGAAATATTTTGACAAACAATCGATAAATAATAAGAAGTTTTGTCTTGAATATATAGAAGAAAAAAGAACTGCAATAGAATAGAACCAAACAAAAAAAAAACGAGAAATGAATTTTTCTATTTTCCTTCTTTTTTCTTTCATATAAGTTTCGAAATCAACTGTTCTTAAATTTTCCTAAAATTAATCATCTAAAGAAATGTATTATGACAATAATAATAATAACAATAATGATACTAATGACACATCATTTTTTTTGTAATCACTCGCTCTTTCTAGTTTTTCAATAGTTATATAACCTTGAGAAAAAATAAATAACAGCAAATTTAATGAAACAAACCTCTTATGTACTCATATCTTACTATCGTTAATCAACAAAAGACATTGCGAGAGTTCATTCAACAACAAATGATTTGCATTTTTTGTTTCTCCTTTTTTTGTGTCATTGTAATTGGTTCGTTTTTTAGACATGTAATAAATCATTCATGCATTTTGCATATCTCCAAAACAAAAAGAAATGTCAAGACAAGTCGAATGGATACCATCGACCAATCATATGTCATGTGGAATGAGTCAGCGTTGTCAAAATCTACGACCAGAGATTTTCTCTACTGAAAGAAATAAGCAAGCATAATTTTCAATGATATTGAAGTCATTTGTACAAGAAGTCGTGTATTTTTAATCTTCATAGTAAGATTGTAATATAAGAAATTACATTTTGATTAAAAGAAAGCCTGATTATTCTAGGAATCGAATTTCTAGACTAAATTAAACAATTTTTGTAAAGATGTCGAGCATTGAGAGTGAACTTGACAGTTGAAGAGATTGATCGAGAGGTTTTTACTAAAGTGGACTGGATTCGGGTATGGAATTAAGGCCCCGCCCCCGTCAAAAAAAGTCGTTTTCGTCAAAAATTCCGAAATTGAGATAAATACATGGGGAGATAGCCCGTCATCTGCTCTATCATAAACGATAATTTGTTTTTCTCGTTACTTCATTTTTCCCAAAAAGTTTTCAAGATTTTCGTCAACCCCTATTCGAAAAACCAGCTGTTTTTTGAAAAATCAAAAAATGTTTTTCGTTTTTTCTGTTTCCGGTTTCTCAAAAGCACTTCCCAAAATTCTCCTTCCTGGTTCGTTCAATATATTAATATTTTTTGTTTGTTTGAAAGAGCATCTCAAGGCGCAGGGCACACGGGAGTCGCTTTTTTAAATTAAGCCTTTGTTTGATCAATATACAGCCAGTTATATGAGTTGGTTACCATTTTTTGATACTTTTTTCAGTCATTGAACTTTTGATCCCTTTTTTGCGCTTAAAAAAGGACTATTTCAAAAAAGCGGCTTCCGTGTGCCCTGCATCTTGAGATGCTCTTTCAAACAAAACAAAAAATTAATATATTGAACGAACCAGGGCCAAGAAATTTGGGATATCAAATGAGTCATTTTTGACCATTGTTTGGCTCATATCTCCCTGAAACCTGAAGATTTCGGGCTGAAAATTTTATAGTAGCCTTTCCTTTCTAGTCCCAACATACCCTGAAAGTTTCATCTAATTTGGATGTTCCTGGGCTGAGATCGATTTTTGAGGGGCCTTAAACATTTTCTTATTTTCTAAGAATTAGTAAGCAAAAAAACCAAACAAAATTGGAACCCACTACATGAAGTCAACTAAATTTGTTTCTGAAACTTAATTTTTGGCATAAGAACTTTGTAGTATCCGGGCACGAAACAAAGTAGGAGTCAAATTCAACTTCGAATTTTTTTCATGCCCATAAGACATCGTTAGAATCTCCAAAATACACCTGTTTGTACAATGAATATCAAAGAACAAAAACCTACTACTCAAAAAAAAAACTTCATATATTAAAACTGAATTTTCGACAAAAAATTTAGTTGAGTCCGTACACGACTCTAAGTAGATAATTATTTGTCTCAGTATTATAATGTGAGATACAAGGAATCAAAAGTGAGCATGCATTCAGATTAGCAATGTATTCTTGGGTTTGCCTAGTCAAAAAAATTTATAGAACTTCTATGTTGCCATGTTAATCGTATTAAAAATAGTTAATAAGCATAAATTCGTTATGAATTGTACTTTTAGATTAATTGAATGTCTGTTGAAGAAAAACAAGCACGATCAGTATTTGTTGGTAATATACCTCATGGAACAACAGAAGATCAAATGAAAGAAATATTTTCTGTTATTGGACCTGTATTATCATTTCGTATTGTATTTGATCGTGAAACTGGAAATCCAAAAGGATATGGATTTGCTGAATATGCTGGTAAAAAAAAACAATTTATTTTACTCATAAAAAAAACAAATCTTCAAAAAATGTTCTTTTAATAGATGTAGATATGGCTCAAAGTGCAATACGAAATTTAAATGGTTTTGAATTTGGTGGTCGATCATTACGAGTAGATAAAGCATCATCACAAGCTGATGAATTACGATTACTACATCAACAAACAACTATTGGTCCACCAGCATTTGAAACAGTTCAAAGTGTTAATGTAACTCCAGATAAAGTTCCTGAAGTTATTGCTCGAACAATTGGTATAATTTAACCTAAAACAAAAGGAATATTTATTTGAAATTTCTTGTATATTTATTTATTTTTAGTGAATCTTCCACCTGAACAAGTTGTTGATTTAATGAAACAAATGCAAACAATTATTAAAGAATATCCAACAGAAGCACGAAATATTCTTATACAAAATCCACAATTAACTTATGCTATGTTACAATCACTTGTTATTATGGGTCTTATTCCACCAAATGAAGCTGCTAATATGCTTCATAAACGACCAGATATTCCACCAATAAATCTGATGAGTAATTCTTCACCAGCACCACCTAATCTTGTTAGTGGTTTAATACCTAATCCTTCATTTCAAGCATCACCATCTCTTGTACCACAACCACCTTTACCAATTGTTCCACCACCTCCATTCCATCCACAATTACCACCAATGAATTTTCCAATAACAACAGCACCTATTCAACAGCCAACTTCGGCTATAACTAGTAGCTCGCCTCTATCACGTACTGATCAAGAAAAAGCTCAATTATTAATGCAGGTATTACAATTGAGTGAAGCTCAAATTGCTCAATTACCAGCTGATCAACGAGCGAGTATTATACTATTAAGAGAGCAAATGCAAAAAAGTGGAATGCTTTCACTTTAATTAACTTTTTTCATATTGATTCACCACTCTAATCTAGGTCAATTTTTTCCTATTTTCTGTAAAATAAAAATAAAACGTAATACTATATCATAATAATAACTTTTTTTTAGAATTATTTACGTAGCAAAGTTTTTGAATTACTCATTAATCACAAAGTTGACTTTTCTTTGACTTATAAGCTGTGTTTCTAGCAAGTTGAGGGTGTGGGTGTCGAAGTAGGTAACTAGAGCAAGACATTCATATCCAGATTCACATCTCACCTCCACACTCAAATTCACCCGCCAATTCAAAATTTTGAAAAACTGATTACTGATTCGGATTTCTCGGCTTCGATCACCTTTGGTTAAACTTGAGTGAGTGTGGCTATAGGTAGATGTGAGTGTATGTATCGTGAAGGTGTATGTGGGTGTCTGAATAAATGTTCTTGTTAGAATGAAACAAACATTGATGACCACACCGTTTCTCAGTTCGTTCAGCTATTGGTATGAATATTTGATCATGACATGTGTTGAAAGCGCTGGATCCATCAGCCTTCGGTCATCCAGACTTTCACTGTGCTGATAAACAACGTCGGGTTTAGCACCAATTGATACATCTCATTGATTATTATCTGACATAGACGATTTCTCAATCAACACAACTATAGGAACAAATATTTGGTGATCCTATGTATTGAAACCCTTTGTCTCACTATATCTTGGCTACCAAGACGTCTACCCTTGTGATGAACATGGTCGATTTTAATACCAATCGATTGATTTCATCAAACTTTATCTGGCACAAACGAGATCTCAATTAGTACAGTTCTTCGAACGAATATTTTGTGGAATTACTTGGTTTCCTTACTAAAAACAGGATTTGAAAAGTTTTTTTTAATTTTCAAGCAGGCTTTCGCAATAGAAGTTTTTCGAAGGATATACATCCGAAAGTAGATTCGGTGTATTATCTGGAAAAACTAATATCTTTTCCGGTGCAATTCTGTGGGAAATGTTTTCGAAAAAAACCTGAATACATCGCTAACTTTGTTGGCGTATAAAAAATATTGCTGGATAGCTTACATGTTCAAAGTACGTATATTGCTGCGCATGAGAGTTCAAAAATTCGAATAGAATGATTTTCAAGTGATGTGCTCTCACAGATAAGCGATTCCAAACTTTACTATTTTTGCGTATACTTATGCTAAGGTACCAATTCTGTTGAGAACTTTTTACAGCAAGATCTGAAATAAAAGTAAGTTGACATTGACATGGTTCTACAAGAATTTCAAGATGCTTATCAAATTTTGTTCAGCATTTATATAAATAGCCATTTATTGTATATTCTTTTGTTGATATATAAACTGTAAGATCGTCCAACAAATTGAGGTTATAGGTTATGAGTAATGCTAAACAATAGACAGTTTTAATCAGTCTCTCTAGTGTCTCAATATAAAAAAATCAACATAAAAAGAAACAGATTAATTGTGGCAAAGTGTAATGAATTAAAAGGTCTGGCTTTAGTAGTCAAAGCTTTCTAACAGTCAAAATGACAAAACAGGTAAGATAAAATTGAACTTAATGACAGGACACAGACGATTTAATTAATAATGACCCCCTCCTTTTCGTGAACTTTATTCTTTTTCAAGTTTCAAGATAATTTTAATGAAGATAGGATAAAAAGTTAGCCTCCGATCTATTCGATAAGTTAATTTTATGCATTACAGCTGCAAGGACAACTAATCAAAAATATTAAATCGTATAGAGAACTAAACGATAAATCGACAGTGTTCTTTAGAAAAAATGTTTTTATGCGTTGAAGCAGTTCTTCTACTGATAAACTTTGCCACGTTTGCTTTTCAATTTCTATTCTATTTGGAACAGCGAATCGGTCGAAAGTGTATATAATTCGACTTTTCGATTAGAGCAATAGAAAAAGAATTCATTGTTATCAAATGTAAATGTCTTGTGGGAAAAGTATTGTGCCCATAATCGTGGAAATGATTATTTGATTTTTTTAATAATATATCAATTAGTTCAATGATCGACATTCGTAGCTTCGTTTTAAATCGTCATTTTGTGAAGCAAATTGAGAACGAAAGGAACATCATATCGAAGTTTCGAAAAAAATTGATCGCATAGGAACATGAAATTCTGGAACAACTTTCGAACGAAAATTGTACAATTCTCTGATCTTTATACTATCACGACACAAATTAGCGATTTCGAGTTATACGTCAAGAAAAAGAACCTGCAACTGACTGCTGTAATAACTTATCAATGTAGTCATCAAATATCACTAGTCATGATTATACCTAGTTAAAAAGGTCAAATTTAATTTTTTACTTTTCAATAGCATAGGTGTTTCATTATGTTTCATCATAATTACATTTTTTGCTTAAAAAAAAATTTTTTCTTTTCTTAAAAATTTACAAATGTCACTGCCTCTCTCATACAGACCAACAGGCAGTTTCAATAGTTTGTTTGAACTTCTGATGTTTTTTGAACATTCTACTTTGATAATTTCTAAATGAAACTCAATTGATAATCAATCTGACTTTTTTTAATATATTGTCGATTTTTAATTCAGAGTATTCCACAAGTGTCTCATCTCATCTCATCTTAGAATTTTTTTTAATCAAGTTCAAATTTTCATTTAAAAGTTTTGTTAAATTATACATGTTCAATATTCGATATATCGAAGTCATTTATATAAATATGCGTTCGTTAAATTTTTAGATTCTTAAAAATCGGATACGGCAATATATAATTTATGCACATTAACATTCGATTGCCCATTTTATCAATCATAATAACACTTCACCATCACGTGCTTTTGGCGCTCTTATGTTCGACATACTGATCCTTACAATCAGCAACTATCGATCTTTTCCGTTCATTCATTTACACTTATAGAATCATTCTCATTTTCTCGCAATAGGGAGACATACTCTCAGTCAACCTTAATAATCTCTGCTTATGCACGCTATGCAATTATCGAGAAGTGTATAAGTCCAAAAAAAAAAAAGTTAATCTAAAAATGGAAATGAAGTCAAGTGAAGTGGGAAAAGCGTACACCTCGTTTTTTTTTGTTCTCATCTCTCACATATTCACAGAAATAGAAATATTGCTTGACTGTAATTCAAAAACAATGTATGTGTTACACGTCATGCATCGGCAACTAATACTACTTCTTCTTACTTTCTCATTAACACCTAAAGTTTGCCTTTTTTTTTATAACAATAGCAATAAATTATAAAGCAATCGGTTACAGCTCATATGTAATCAATTTTATTTCGCAAACAGTGTCAAAAGAGGTGATATGTAAAACAATATTGCCGGCATTCGTTTAACTTTTGCATTACATTTATATTTATATCAACCATGCAATCTTCCTGCTGTGTACATCTTGAAGATCAGGAATATCATGTGAAGAGTCTAATCAGCACAAAAGTGTTATCTTTCACCAACTATCAAAATGATCATTTGATTCTTCTTCTTCTTCTTCTTGCTTTTTTTATCACCACTTGTGTTTTAATCAATATACAACTCAGTGTGACGAAAATATTAAAAAAGAAAAGTATAAAGTATCGTTTAATCTGTGAGAATCACAATATATAAAAAAAAAGACTGTTCGTTAATATTTTTTTTTCATTGACATAAAAATGATTTATTTTAAATTATAAAATTTGATGATTTTTTGTTACCGGAAGGATGTTCATGTAGTACTCCAACACTGTGAATGTGTAAATGAATGTTAAATATCCTTCTTCATATATGCCGACACAATTTTGTCTAATTTCCAAAGTCAAATAAATACACAGAGCTATATGCTTATGTGTCACATACTTTTCGTCAATAAAGAAATTGGTTTTTTCAATTATAAAATTTAAAGTAGCTCCACCTTGTATTTGCATGCGTGTGTTTCACCTATCGCCTTTTCTTTTTCATACAATACTTGCACATCACGATCAAAGAAATGAGCACATATATAATTATTGCCAACGGGTATCATAATACACGATGCTCATCATTTTTATGAGATCAAACATTATTCTTTAATATATTTTTGTTTTTTGTCAATAAAGTGTTAAAGCATAAAATTAATGAATTTTTTTGTCGGTATGTTTTTTTTGTCGAAGAGATAAGATTGGATTAATAGAAATTAGATTTACATCTTTTTTTTTTACGTTGAATGTATCAAATGAGTCTAAACATGAACACGAAAATGAAGATCAAATTGCAAATGACATTCTTTTTCTTGATTTCATGCAGAGAGAACGGCCACAGGTAATGTGATTTCAAGTGGTCACCATACTCCCATCGTCTTCACTTGACTTCATTCTCCATTTTTATGATTAACAGATTAACATAGTGACTTCCGGCTGACATGCTGTCGATAATTGTAGTGTTCGCGTATGCATAAGATTAAACTAAGACATACCATGCAGTGCACATTGTTAGAACGAAAGTGGGTGGTACATGAGAATTATGAGTGTAAAATTAATGATAAATATACAAAAAAAAAAATATAGGTGTTAAAATAGAAAAAGAAAACATATCTAAAGATATCAATTTATGCCATTGGGTATATTCTCAAAATAATAAAAAAAACATAGATTTAACAGTGAAAATACCGAATAATATTTTTTCAAGAATCATTACCTGAAATAAAGAATAAAAATGATATTCAATGATAAAGAAAAACATAATTGATGGCATTCTAATTTGAAGAAAAGTGAGTGAGCTTTGATCGATTTTATTTAGAAAGAAAATCAGTATAGATTTTTTTAAACAATCTTATACCTACTTTCAGATCTTCAACTTTGAGTTTTCAAATAAAATAAAGTGTATGATCATTTTAGATCATGTGAAAGTGAACATCAGGGTAATAATGTTGCTTGAACATCTCTTTTTGGTGGGACTTTAATTTTTTCTTTTCCCCTATAGTGTATGATGAGTTTTATCTCTAATTTGATATGTATTGAATAAAGCAGCTAGTTCAAGAGGATGAGGTTAAAGGGTACATCTTCTCACCTTATGATGTGTATTGTTATGATAGAACGTTCTTCATAAGTGTTTTGACGAGAGAAATTTTCCAACTGCTTAATCGCTTTTGAGTACAGACTATGTACATTATATGGACCCTAATGAGTTATGAATATCATAAGAAAAACTCAGACCTTTAACTTATTTCTACCGAAATGATGAATTTTTACGATAGTTTTTAAATGAATACCTTGGTCCCGTTAAGAAACACTAGAAAAACTCATTTTCGAATTTTGACTTCAATGCTTCCTTTTATAAAGACTAGTCTCATCGAGAATAGTTTATTGTGAAAGTTTCAGATCATTTTGTTGTTTCTATTCTAAGATACAGCTATGATAAAAACTTATCGTTTACACATATCAGGAAAGAAGCCATTTCAAAAGATCTGACACATTTCACAATAAACTATGTAAATTAAAGATTTTGTCTTTGTGCAAGGTTTCAAGTCGAAATTCGAAAACGATTTTTTCTAGTGTTTTTGAGAGACAACACAGTATTAACTTGAAAAAAATTGTAAAAATGCAGCATCTCAATAGCTATGAACTATTAATCCGAACTCATGTTCAGATATTCATAGCTGATTAGGATCTAAATGACACTTTTAGTTTGAACTTCCAAGCAATTAATCAGGCGAAGGATTTCGCTCATGAGCTAATAGGATTATTTTGATGCGATGAGTTTACTACAGATGAATTCTATCTGATAGATCAATTAGTTTTTTTTTTCAATGTAAGTGTATTATCTGCTAAAAACGTACCATCCTATTAGTCACGAACATCTACTGTCAATCCTCAATTTTGCATTTACAAATTTGATAATCAAAAGACATTTTCCTGGTAAAGAAAAATATCAAATTGTTTTATTTTTATACTTAAATAAAGTTTAAATATTAAAGTCTACTATTCTTAAATTGTCTTACAACATCATAAATTCTTTTAATAATTTTGTCCTTCGTATTACATGCACGAAAAGGCTAAAGATTATATTTGTCGTTGATGACCTTCTTGTTATTGTTAAATTGTTATGAAACCGTACTATTTGCTTGTATTTAAAGAGGATAAATAAACAGACGATGTAGAAAATAAAGGATCTCAAAATTGACTTCGGTTTTTATTTGAGAGCGTTTTAAATCATGCGTACTTTTCTTCAGATCACACTTTTTTCTGGTCAATTCGATAATTAATTATTATTATGTTTTTTTTTATTGCTAAAAAACAAACAAATAAATAAAACTTAATAACATCTTTGATACCGAGCATACGTCGAACAGTCAACACTAGATAATAATTTATCAGTTATATGTTCAATATTTAATTGTGTATGATCGTTATGAACATGAGGACGTCTGTAACGTTGTTGTTGATTTTTTGTGAAACGATTTCTACTAATTGAAGTGACCATTGGGCGAATACATCCATCAACAATAATTCGAAGATCATTGTGTATATTATTGTTTAATTGTTCAGTTGAACTTGTACGTGGTAATGCTGCATAACATTCTTCATTATTAGCTGAACGAAGTGGATCATCATAATTTGAATATGGTACAAATGAATCAATAGAATTTTTACGAGAATGAGATAAATAATTAACTTTATTCGTATTTAAACGATATGTATCATTACCAATACGAATAAATCCAGCTTTTTCTAATTTAGTTGTTGGTGATCGATTTGTTGGAAGACGTTTTTCAATTTTTTTAATAATAGCTGCGGATGATTGTCGACTTTTTGTTGGTGACATTATTTGATTATCTTTAAGAATTCCTTCAGCACTATGTGAACGATGTGATCGTATTAAAGAATTTTGTCGTTGTTGAAGTTTATCATCTATTTTTTCTAAATCCGACATTGGTCTTCGATAATGATGTATCATTGGACGAGTAGGACAATGATTTAATGATGTTTGTGAATCAGCTATTGATTCAGCTGAAAGAGCTTCTAATATTGATAATGTATCTTTTGATTCAGTACGTTGACGTTCATCAGTATATATTCCACTTGATGATGAATTATCATTACCATCATATAATGATGATGATGATGATGAACGTGTTGGTGTTGAAAATTCTTTCATCACATTTGCTGAATATCTTGGATAATCAACTAAACATTGACGTGACATATTTGATAAACTCATTTCAGCTTGAAATGTTGGAAAATTTTGTTGAATATTTCCATGTTTTAATGTTTCATCATTTGTTGTTGATGTTGGTTGAGTGTTATATCTTGTTGTATCAATAGATAGTTGTTGTTCAAAACGACCATTTTTACGTATTGATGGTTCTGTATGACTTTGAACAAATGTATTTTGACGAGTAAATGTTGCTTGTGATGGTAGTAATGATGATATTCTTTCACGTCGTATACTAAATGCTGGTAATTGAAGTTGTGTAATTGATGCTACCATTGTTGTGGTAGTTTTATTTACATCATTTGAAATTGAAATTGGTATGACTTTTGTTTTACTTTTTCCTGTTGAAAGACGTGGATTTGTTAATGTTATTGTTCGTGTTGTTGTTGTTGCTGTTGTCGGTACTGCTGGTAATGAATTATTATTTTTTTCATGTTTTTGACCAGTATATGAGATGGTACCAAACCATTTTCGTGGATTAAGTGTCCAACGAGTGTTCGATGGCATCAATTTATTAAAATGAATGAAAAGAATGATTTTCAAAAAGCTGTTCTCTTTTAGTTTAGGTTTTGAATCGATTTGATAGTGAATGGTGCAAAGAAATGTATGAAGCTCAATAAAAAATTCGAATAGCAATAGTGTATTCTTGCTTCTCAAATGCAAGAGAAAACGAGAGAGAGAGAGAGAGAGAGAGCGAAATGAGTGATTGAAATACTAACAAAAAAAACAGCAACAACAAGATTTCACCGTTTGCCTGCTAGTTCTCTTTCTGATGTTTATAGAAGCAAAGAACAATCAAATATTTTTTTATAAGTCATCAACAACATCAATGCAATTATTTCTGCTATATATTTCGAACATTGTTTTTCTCGCCTCTCTCTCTCTCACTCAGTTACTTTACAATACTTTTGACTATTTATTATGCATACATTTATATGTACAAGTTGAGAAATAAAAATTAAAAATCGAGAAAAAGAACAGAAGAAGCCCTGCTCGGTTCTTTGGAATATATTACATATAATATAAAATCGAAAAGAAACAAAATGTAAAAATTTTAATGTCGATTATAATTATTTTGTCTTGAACTATTACTATTAATTGATGAATGACTATCATTTAAATAAGTAAAAGTGAATGATTTCGACGATGGCTGCATTGCATGTTTAGTAAAACCATAATATTTTTTTCCTGCTAATTGATTCGGAATAGACGATGAAGACATTTGTCTACTCAAATCATTTTTTTGTTCATATTTCTGTACAGTTGAAATTGTTTTTATTTCACGTAAAGAATCGTCATGTTTTGTTTGACGATTTTGTTTTCGTTCACGATGGTGTTGTTGCTGATTCGTATTTGAATTAATATTATTATTTTTTAAACAAATTACAATTGTAAAAACAAATATAATAGTTAAAAATATTGAAATACCCAATACAATTGCACCACCGATAGTTCCAGATAAACTACCTTTGACTAAACCTGAAAAAGTAAATAAATAAAGTAGTAGACATATTCTTTCTTTGATTTTTTTTTACCATAAATTAATCCAGCTAGACCACCGATAAATCCAATAGTTAAAAAAAGACCTATGATGGATAAACATGCTTCTTTATTCGATGAATGTTCATTTCCAATGTTTCGTTTTGAGATAAATATCATTATGAACCAAGGTATTCCGTTTATTTGAATAATTGGTTTTGTATTGGACAAACAAAAGTTTTACTCTATAAAGCTGAGTAGTATGAAAACATTGATGTATTCAAATAGTACTATTTGAGATGTTTTCTTCTTCTTTTTCTCTATTAAATAGTCATTAAAAATTATCGTTTTTCCAATTTTCTTCATTTAAGTTCGCAGTGAGACCTTACATTGTGTTTTATAATGCACGTTCGCTCCTTATTCTCAGTTTTTTTTATGTATGCTGAAGAAAATCTAATTTTTTTTGTTATTTGCTTTTTCCTTTTACATTTCTAATAAGACTTTTAAATTCTTCACCCTCACACCTTTGCACTCTCCTCATTTATGTTCGCAATGTGTTGCATATATTAATAATATGTGATTTTTGAGTAGAAGTAGAAAAAAAGAACTTTGATATAATGGTCAACATTTACTTTAATATATATATAAATTTTTTTTAAAATAATTATTTTCTTCAGAATTTGTTCTATAACGACCTACATTGATGTTGTTAATATAAGCGCTGAAAGAAATATTAAAATGTTTATCAGAAACCCAGTGATCCCTGTTGTTCTATTATTATAGAAATTCTTCATGTAAGAAAAAAGTTTTTTTCGTGTGCATATAAGAGATGAAATAAAAACTACAACATGATAACATTAATTATAATTAAACAAAGTGATTTGTACTATGACTGGCAGTCTTTATAGCTTGAAAAATATTTTGATATGTTGGTTAAAAATTTTTGAATCGATTGTACTTAACACAAACAAAAAATATTGAATATACTCTTTTGTTTATTTCATGAAAACATTTATAGCAATAGGGCAAGAAAAGTGTGTCTCAATGGATCGATGACTGCGTGAGTGACGAGTAGTTTTCTGAACTCTGACTTGTCTATGTTTTCTATCGTTGAAAAACAAACTTTTTGTTTTCCTTGAAGTTTAATAGAATAATCTTTCATTTTTAATTAAGAAAAAACAAAGAATATCTCAGTGATTTGTCGTGTATCAGGAAAAAATATGCATTATATGTGCATTGAATCAAACAGTAAAATCAAATTTTTATACATAAATATATTATCATGAAATAGGATTCTTAAATGTAGTATTATGAAATAGAACGATTTATTTAAATTTCGAATCACATATAATATTAATTTATTCAAATATTAATGTTGATTTCTGAGAATACGAATGAGCTTGCAATAATAAAAATACGTTTTTAATCACTACGGACGATTTGCATTCGATAGTAAAATTCCATTTGTATAATTGATAAAATTGAAAAGAAGGTTCGGTTTTTTGCAAAGAAAAGTCAATATTTCGAAAGTATGATCAATTATAGTAAAATTGAACCAAGGATTTTTATTTATTAATTTATAAAACTCCTTAATGAAAGATGAATAAAAATACAATTCGGTTGGCTATATAAGTCATCGTGTGATATTCCTTTTTTTAAGTAATAAAATCTATTACTGAATATCAATTTAATACTAACTATTCATTTGAACATTATTTATTGTTTGTTCTGTTGACAAATTAAAAATTAATATACTTGAGCAATTGCTATTTGAAAAACGTTGAAAGCAAATGTTAATACAAATATATTGTTATATCAAATATTTGAACACACTCGATCTATGAAATAAATTTTGTTTAAAACAATAAATAGCAACTACACTAGAATAAGTGAGCCACTAGATGTTTTGCGAATATCTCTCTTTAATTATGACGTATATACCTTGAGTCTTTTCTCAAAAGACAGTCTATGCAATTCTCTAAAAAAACCTTACAAAAAGAAGTCTTCCAACGAATAGCAATCGGATTATACTTGATCAATCGTAGAATGTTCCAAAATGGTTCATTTTCAAATGCACATTTTTTCTCGCAAAACAGATACAAGACCCCACTATAATTCGACTTTCCTGTGCTCTCAGATGTACTCTTTCTAATAGAACTCAAAAGAAGATATTCGGATATAATTGTGAGATTTTAGCGGTCAATCTTCTTCAAAAATGAGTCAGAACTATCGATTCTTCTCATTATGCACCTCAAGCATTGTAGAAAAATAACTTCACAATATTTTGATCGTAGAACAATGATAAAGAAAATGTTTTCCTTTAACTGAATAATAAATCTAAGTATGAAATAATTTTTCATTCAAGATAAATTGAAATTGTGATGAACCTAAGTGAAAGAATTTCAGAACGCGAATAGAGGACAGCAAAGACAAGTTCTTGTTCGGATAAATTTATAGTTTTTCTATAAAAGTATTTCCTTTACGGATAGAACGTTTCATGGGTTACAAAATGGCCTGTTCAGTCTCTTCTTATTTAATCAAAAGGACTGCATAAAATTGTTCATATGAAAGCGAGCTCTTGAAAAGTGAACCATTTTGGAGCATTGTAGTGTTCATCGGTTATAATACCATAGCTTTTCATTGGAAGATCTTTTTCTCATAAGATTTTGTAAAATATGGCACAGGCTATCTTGTGAGAAAAAATTTAAGTATATACGTCGTAGTTTGAGAAAAATATTGTTAAAACACTGAAAGGCTCATCTATTCTGATGCATTCGCTACATTCCAGATTAAGGTTTTCAAGAAAAGAAGTCTAATGATGAAACTAATTCAGATATGGATTCGATTACTTTTTAGCATTCTATTGGAGGTTTTACAGTTTCAACTCACGTCAGCGAGCTAAATTGGATCTATATCAAGTACCTACGTTCTATACAAAATAATGTTCATTGCCGAGGTAAAGGTTTGTGAGACCATCATTCGATAACAAACACGTAAAGAAAAATAAAGATTATTTGGTTAACAATACTTAATTAAAAACGTCTTTTTTTTATGTCGTCGATCTAGGTAATTAGCTTGTGTTTTAATTTTAAAAAAACAGACACTAAAAAGAACAGTAACTATTCTAGCTTGTAATAATTATTTACTCAGTATACTTCTATTCAAATTTTTGTTAGTTCAGTTTTAATTATCTTCATTCTCTTTAAAAGTATTATTGTGAAGGATAGCAAATTTCTATCAGATGAAACGAACCGACATGCTGAAACCAAAATAAATTGCTTCATACAATTCGGATTATCACAATCCATCAACTTAAGTAATATTTTCCGTGGCATTACTATTAAGTCGAAACCATAACATTTGCTCTTCAACGAATACTTTATTAGAATATTTATCAAATTAAAAAATATAATAATAGATTGAAACAAGGTGCACATATCGTCTTTATCTTCATTCTCACACTTATCCTTAAATCCTTAAAGTCATGGGAGCAACTGTCCGAAGAATAACAATCCTGTTATCAACAAATGCACTTGACTTTTTCACATAATTGAGTCTTTATACATCAAAATTTCGGAATAGATATGATGGTTTTTCATTTTATCATTAATATTCTCGTTATTTCATATTCCACAATCAAGACGAAAAATTTAACCATAGAGTCAATTTTAACGTATCAATAAAATAAATTCAATATCAAGGATTTAACTTTACGGCATATTTAATGACTATATCTTATCTTCAAGTCAATCAAGATTATATTAATTAAACAATCTGTAATAGAATTTGATATAACATATTGATGACATATAAATCTTGTTTAGTAAAAACATTATTTACAAATAATTGTTTTTCTTTTTTTATTTTCAAGAAGTTTAATAAACAATACAACGACCAAAAAAATGTTTTACAATCAAATATTTTTTTTATTACATTATCGATAATATATTGAACTGCCCTCTTTCCTATAATATACATAAAACAAATATTTAAAGATAAATGATTATATACGAAAAAGAAAATTTACCAATAGTTATCCAAGCGCTTCTTAAATAATGGATCTATTTGACTTGTATCAAAATCAGAACCTAAAACAAATAAAAATGATCTTTTTTTCTAGATAATTCCTAAGTTCGTAATGAAAACTTGGTAGATAGAAACACTGCGAGTTTAATAATTTATTTCAGATAACACTTTTCGTTAGTCATTTTAAAATCGAGACTATCCTATTCAAATATGATCTGTTAATTAACTTTGATTTCTTTTACGTATTCGAATGAAAATCCTCATACGCTTGAAATATCTGTTCTTTATGATAAAATGGATAATCTAGGTTATTTTCTTTCAATTTTTAAAGTTAACTAAACTCAGATCCAACCGCTTTATGACTGAGTCTCATGATTCAAATTTTTTTATATTGTACAATAATAACTCGTTTGTAAACTGCTTTCAGACGCTCATAGATAGTGATCGCCTGGTAGGAGTCCAACCCCCTTGAATCCAAAACCGTTCCGAGCAGCGTTATTCTAAAAGTATGAGCCAAATTTTAATTTGATTCTTATGCAAAACGTGTAGTGTATGTAAACCGTCAAAAACAAATAATCGCAAAACGTATCTCATACCTTCGAAGCGATTATCAAGTGCAGATGACAAAATTTCATTAAGATTAAAAGTAAGGTTCACGTTCGGAACCGCAAAATTTTTAAGCCTGAAGGACTCTACTAATAGCTAATCCTAGTAAATGTATTAATAACAGCGTACCTGCTGCCAACTGATGTACTATATGGATTACCATTTTCTGGCTGTTAAAGTCAACACTTTGTTCGTTTTTTTATTTGTTCATGGCTAGTATAGATTCAAAGTGTCCTCTGTCAAATACCATACAAATGAGGACTCTTTGCTGTTCATTGGGACTTTTATTAAATCCAGCTCTCACAATCCCTAGCAGAGAAACTCGCACTGAGATTATTCTTTGTATGCGAAATTTTTCTAATGATAATGATTTTTTTCTCATTCTAAAGCTGCTGAGAGCATCGGTCAAAGATCTCTGACAACACTGAGTACGGCCAGTTTTCGGTCACCTTAGTTAAAGACAGAAGTCCTTATGTGTACAGGAAAATTTGCTTTCCGTTTTTCTCGAAATCATTTTTTACACAAAGAAAAGTGAAGAATCATCTCCGTCTCTCCGATATAGTAGGTTCGATCGAACTGAAACATTTTTTTACAGGTATTGAACACTGTCGAGGATGCCTAATTTCTTTTTTATGAAAATATTCTGCGATTGATTTTTAGCAGATTTTACAACAAAAGATACATGTATTTTTGAGAGTACGCTTGGTGCTCTGATCTTTTCATTCGAATGGAAGGGAACCAAAAAAAAGTAGGCATTCTAAACAGTATCTAGTATCTGTAAAAATAAATTCTAGCTCTGTCGACCCTATTACGACTGAGAAAGCAGGATAATTTTTGAGCCTTTACGATCCGGATATTTCCTAGAAGGGAATATTTGAGAGTTCGAAGTCTATGACAATTTTTGCTCTACTCATCGAGATCTATCTACTCTGAAAGTTTCAAATAGTTCTAACAAGCTGTTCTTCAGAAACTCGGGCAAAGGAACTTCCTTAAGCCTGGTACGTTCAGAAACGTTTCTAAACTTGAAGATAATATGATCAAAATTATTCCTTGTAACATATAATTATTTAAGTACTTTGAAATGTATTTAATCTTGTCAATGAATCATTATGTTCGTTTGTTGTTGCTAATACACTTCTATCATTAACATCACTTTTTAATGCACTTAGACCAGTTTCATATGCATCAACAAATTTTGAAATCTAGAAAAAAAGAATTAATGAATTATGTTCTAAAACGAGAACATTAAATGAAATTTTGTTTTTACTTGTTCATAATTTTGTTTGGCAAGTCTTTTTCTTTTAGCTTCAATTTTATTATATTTACATTGTAATTTTTCAAGTATTTCTAATTCTTTTTCAACTTCTTGTTGATCATATTTTTTTTCATTTTGTTGTAATTCTTCAAGAGCTGTATATCGTTGTTCTAATTCAGATTTTAATTCTACAAATAAAATAAAAATAAGAAAATCATTGAATTAATTATCATTCTTTTTTTTACGTTTTAATAGAAGATCATCAGCTTCAATTTCTTTTAAATTTTGTTCTGTTGCAGGTTGAATATGTTTTGAAAAACCTAAACAAAATAATCGAAAAACCAATTAATCCTACAATGAATTTTCGACGAAAAAAGTTTTTTCATACTTTCATTCATGCATGTTACATAGAGAAACGAATCCATCTGTATGAAAAAAGAAAAAGAAAAGGATTGGAAGTTGGGTAAAAGTCAAACGAACAAATCAGATTGTTTCTATTTAGTTTCACGAGTTTTTATTAATAAAAGAGAAAAAAAGCACATGGCATCAATTGGTTCTGGTGAATGTTTAAATAAAAAAATTTTCTATTAAATTAAATTAGTTTTTTTTGAATTAGTATGATTTAAGTGAATCACAATTTTCTCCAGACGGTCGTGTTGTTCAAGTTGAATATGCTAATAAAGATGGTTGATCCATTTCTTTTTTATTAATAGAATATTTTTTTATTGGATTTTTTTCTAGTATTTATCAAGCTCATGATGAAATTAAAGATTGAATCTTTGAGTTAGAACTAAGTTGGATCGGGCAACGTAAGTAGAAGAAAGCAAAATCTTAATTAATATTCAATTTTTGATTTTGTTCAGTTAATGATGAAAAACATGAAAGAGTACCTATGTGTACCTTTGAAGAAGCTGAAAAATATGCTAAAGTAAAACATATTTTTGCTTTATTCTTAATTATATAAGTATTTACTGTTAGGCATCATTGGAAGAAGCAGATGAGGATGATCATGAAATGTAGAAACTTATCGTTAACTTTTCATTTTTATTTTTTTTTGTTATTTAAGACGGCTTATATCGTTTCAGATGAAGAGTCGTTTCTGTTTTAATCATGATGATAAAGAACAAAATTTCACACTCATCGATAAATAATTAAAATGACAAAAGCAAAAATAGGTTTATCTATTGCCATTAAGCTCTTTGCTACAATGATAAGCATTACGACGAAAAAAAAAGCATGGCGTAGTCATTTTTCTTTCCTTATCATCGATCACATTTAAAGCCAGTACATCTATATTATGGGAACAACATAACCTGTACATTTGTCAATTTTTACTAGAAATGGAATATTCAAAATTGTGTAAATTAACCGAAAAAGCATCGAAGAAATTATATGAATCTGTCAATGATATTGAATCATTGGATCAATGGAAAAAACAAATGATTAATTTAATTGATGAAATTTCTGAATTAAAATTATCATCATCAATAGAAATTAATAAAATAAATAATACATCTCTTGATCCTACAGATTGGTTATCAACTAGACATATTGCACATCAAATGCTTGATTCATCTATAGAATCTATTCAAACAGTACGAAGTCATCCTGTTTGGCAACCAATGCCCATCGAAGTTCGTCAATCTATCGAACATGAATCTTTACCTGAAAAAGGTAAAGCATTATCAGAGGTATGCCATGATGTTTTAACACATGTTTTACCATATACTAGAGGTAATACTCATCCTCGTTTTTGGGGATGGGTCATGGGTGAAGGTACATTAGGTGGTGTATTAGCTGAGATGGTGATAGCAACTATGAATATCAATGCAGGAGGATGTAGTCATAGTGCTGTTATTGTTGAACGAAAAGTTATTCAATGGATGCGACAATTATTTGGTTTTCCTAAATGTGATAATGGTGGTATTGTTGTTAGTGGAACATCAATGGCATCAATTATTTGTATGGCAACAGCACGTCGTCAATTTTTAACTAATGTTAGGCAAGATGGAATTGTCAATGGACCACAATTGATTGTTTATGCATCAAACGAAGTACATATGTGTATTGGTAAAGCATTAGAATTATTAGGACTTGGTTCAAAAGCAATGCATTTAATATCTGTCGATGATAAGTTTTGTATTAAGATTGATGAATTAAAAAAGACCATAGAAAATGATCGAAAAAATGGTTTAACTCCATTTTGTATTATTGGCAATGCCGGTATAATTTAGTATTAAAAAAGAACACATTTTTGACTGAACTTATTTCTTTGTACATTTCAGGAACGGTAAATACAGGCGCTTTTGATAATCTTGTTGAACTTTCCTTGATTGCTCGTAAAGAAAATATGTGGTTTCATATTGATGGTGCTTTTGGTGGTTTAGTTGTACTTGATCCAGAACGTCGTCATTTAGTACAAGGTATTGAACACGCGGATTCTTTAGCATTTGATTTTCATAAATGGCTTCATTGTCCATATGATGCTGGTTGTGTTCTTATTCGTGATGGTACTCATCTTTTATCGACTTTTTCTGTTCATCAGTCATATTTAGCTAATACTGAACGTGGTTGTGCAGGTGATAAACCATGGTATTGTGATTTAGGCACCGAATTATCACGTCCATTTCGAGCATTAAAAGTTTGGTTTACATTGAAAGAACATGGAACAATAAAATTAGGTCAAAAAATTGCCGACAATTGTCGACAAGCTCAATATTTAGCTTCATTGTTAGGAAAATATGAAGATTTTATTCGTATTTCTTATCCTATAACATTAAATATTGTTAATTTTCGATTGGAACCTAAAGAATTAGATACATCTAATACCGAACTAATTGATGTATTTAATAATGAACTTCTTGCTGATATTCAATTATCCGGCATTGCAGTGGCATCAACAACTCGTATTTATGGTCAACTTTATATTCGTGTATGTATTGTTAGTCATCGATGTATTCTTGAAGATTTCGATATTTTTGTGGACAATCTTCTCAAATTTTCGCGTATTCGACTTCAAAGTCTGAACCAATCAACAAATTCAGTCGATCAAGAGTAATTCTTTTCGACAAAGACAGATATTGATTGGGTATTTTTTTATTTATTTTCGAACGTATTGTCTCTATTTTTCTTTCTACTACACACATAAGATTTACATGATATCATATAATAAAAAAAGAACTGTTTTATTCAAGTAGAACGAGTAAAATAACATGCATAGTTGAAGACATTTTGTACATTTCTTAATGTTACGATACGAAAAATCGTATTTGTTTGTGCTTAGCTTGTTTTGATTCGTGATGTATGCATTTCAACATGACAACAAACAGGTAGAAAATAAAACGAGTATTGTAGTAAAAGTCAGCAATTTTTCGATTTGAATGCGTTCTTTAGTTTTATTTGGTACATTGATTGCTCATATCTCTCATAAAATCTTTTAATTTGACATTAAAAATGTAAATAAGATAACAACAATACTCTCAACTAAAACAAACTTCATTACACTTATATCACATTTATGTGATATGTGTTATTGCAAGTTATATATTTCTTAACGAGAATGAACAGTAATTGTTGTTACATTTTTCTAAAGCAGACACCCAACGCAATCATCAGACTTGATAGTATATAGGGATACACAAATCCTTAGAACAGAATGTCAAAGATAACATTTTTTTTTCTTATGAAGAACGTACTTGTCGTAGATTTTTTATATCAGTCATGATCAATTTTTTTGGTCTATTCGAAGGTCTAGTGAAAATTCATGAACTTCAAAACAAAGGTTTCGGGATTGGTTGAAACAGGGCTGGAACCGATTAAAAATTGGCGGAAAAAAGTAGAATTATTTTTTGAAAAACGATTTTTAGAAAAAATGGCTTCAAACATGAAATAGTTTAGGGGCGCATGTAAAAGACAATCATCATAATGAATCTTTTTAAAGAGAATCTCAGAAAAAATAATTAATATAACATATGTCTTGAGCACTATTGTAGGTATTCTAATAGAAAAAACATGTTACACCTTAGCTTTTATGACCAAAAACAGGGTTAACAAAGAAGATTTTTCCCAAACTTTCAACTGATTAAGTTCCGGTATGTACCAGCCCGGTTGACTTCCTGAACCGGATCGAACCGGTTTCAACCCTGGATTAATGGAGACATACATTTTTGAGAGAACTGAATATCAGCTAGGAAAAACTATTTTTGAACAACTTTAAGTTCAATTTGTTACGATTCGCTTTAGGTCGATTGAATTAACTAAAGACATACAGTTTGCTCTAGTACGTTTGAGAAAACTTTAAAAAATAGGCTTGTTCCTTGTTCTTTCGATTTTGTGAATAACAGAAGCATGCTTAGATTGAAATAGATATTCATATATTTGCTTTGCCCATGAAAAGATATGTAGTTAGAAAATACCTGTTGTCACTTGTTTAGTTACAGATGAGAAGAAAAACGAAAATGCGATGTACTAATTAACAAGTTAATAGAAAACTTATAATCGGTATCAGAGGGATTTCAATAAATGTATTTTCTCATTGCATACATCGATCAATCAATACAAATATTGCATGACAAATTTTCTACTCATTCTCACATTAATGGATGGCCTTTCAAGAATAGATCTCTCATTATTTTGCATATATTTCGATAGTATTAAAACGTGAAGAAACAAATTTTCTTTCTTGCAAGCTGTATTTCCTAATCTTCTACAATCTTGTATATTTCAACTGATTTAATTAGGATTCGTTACTTTGAGAATGATGACGAAACAGATATGTCTAAAATCCACATCTACTAAAAACAAAGCTTACGTCAATATTTGCTCTACGCACTTTAACTCTTGAGTAAATCTTTTTCAGTCTCTCAACTGGTTTGAAGCAAAAAACAATGAAAACATATGAATAATGAAGTATTTTAAAAGTTTCAAAGGTGATTCATTCGTCTCTGAATACACATTATTGTTAATGCATGAAAATGTATGCTAATATTAATGATTATTCATATGTAAAATTACCATTATAGCTTCGTTTAGGTTTGTCAAAACTTCTAATAGTTTCGAAAGATAATCAGTAAATAGTCAGTATATAAACATTTTTCTTGTAATGTGTCGATTCCCACAACCGTGATATGGTACCTGCTAACATTTATGAAAATTTCCAGGCATTAGGATGAAACTGTATCCATAATTTTACATTAGAATAGCTATTAGCAGACATTTTCATGCAGTAACAATAATGTTTATTCACAGACAAGTAAATCAACCTTGATACTTTTAAAATACTTCATTAATCATATATTTTATCGTTTATCGGTTCAAACCAATCGAGAGACTAAAAAGGATGTACTTAAATGTGAAATTGTGGAAAGCAAATATTAATAAAAAGCTTTGTTTTGAGTAGATGTGGATTTTAGATATATGTTTCGTAGTCAGTTCCACAGTAACGAATTTTGATCGAATCAGTTGAAATACATCAGATTGTAGAAGATTAAAACATACATCTTGTCAGAAAAAAGAGTTTGTTTCTTCACGTTCTAATACTATCGAAATATATGCAAAATACTGAGAAGTTCATTCTTTGTTGACCATCCATTATAATCAATTGTCTCAGACAGTCATAGAACAGTTAAACAAGGGATGCGCTATAAGAAAAGCGATCAATCAATATCCAATTTAACTCATAATATGAATAAATCAACGTGACTATAATATTTTACTACTAAATGCATAATCAAACGATGTTCGATTGTTTAAGACGTTTTTTGTTTGTTGTTCGTATAGGTAACTATTCATTCGTCATGTTAACTGACGCGCGATCAAAATATACTTTGGCAAGATATTTGATTGTTCTTGAGTCTCTTAAAAGAGCCTGTAGAAATTTGAAAACATTTTCTTTGAAGCACAATTTTGTCTTCCTGTCGAATTTTTTGTAGAAACTTTGGCTTAACACTTATGAATCAATTTTTTCAAGATCCGTAAATCGAGTTTGAACGAACCAAAATTTAACCATTGTAGAAAAGAAAGTTATTTCAAATACAGTAAATGAAAGAGAAAACATTTCACTATAAAATGATATACTAATGATCAGTTGGCTGCAACTCTAAAAGGTGGACTCATAATTTCTAAACCAAAAACCCTGGATAAATGTTGAATCTATATTGAAAAACAATACATAATCAATATTTTCAAATTTCTACGGGCTCCTTCAAGAGGCTGAAAAATGAATGTACATTTTGTTAAATTACTTTTCGATCACCCGTTATTATTTTTACTATTTTTTTGCATAATAATTATGCATTCGTTGGATCATACTGTTTATTGCTGATTCTCTTTATTAACTATTGAACAAAAAATAATAATAATAATGAATAAACAATTTATCTGACGTATAAGAAAAAAATATTATGTGAATTTAACTTCGTGATCTATGTCGTCGTTTACTTTTCTTTTTATTATCTTCTTCCATTCTTCTGTGTTGATGATGCTTGGTATGTTTTTTCTTTTTTTTCTTATTTTCGCTACTTGTAGAATCGTTTCGTTTGGGTTTATTAATTTGTTTTTCATATTCATCTGGATATCGTTGCATAAAAAAAGCATGATCCCATTGATCAGCATTTATACCCAGATTAGATGGTAATGGTGGACCAAATTCAGCGTCAGTTCGATTATTATTATTATTATTATTATTACTGTTCCTTTCATCATTTGATGAAGATGATGAGCGATATTTTCGAGAATATCGTTTTTGTTTTTCATAAGGTGATCGAGATCGATGTAGCCGTTTCTTATTATCTTTTTCTCCATCTTCACGTTCATGTTCACGTCGGCGCCACATAACATCTTCTTCAGTAAGACGATTATGAAATGAAACATGAGTAATTGATCGTTGAAGAAAACGATGTCGAGATGACATTCTAAACTATTACTTTATTCTTTCATGTTTATAATTTTAATGGGTACAACTGCAGAAGAACGACATCCCCTTTGTTTACCATATACAGAACAGGAAAAAAATCTATTGGCGCATCCATATAACCACTATCTGAGAAAAATAAAATGTCAAATATAGATGTCATATAAGCACAGTTCATATTGGTGTTGACACGCATAAGAGAGAAGTAATACATGAAAGCTGTTGAATCTATTAATTAAGAGGATGTTTGAACAATTTGATATAATTCTGTGATGAAGAGATATGATAAGAAATAAAGAAGAAAGATTCTGCCATAATACATAAAAAATCTCTCAATTAAAATAAAAAAGATGAATTTTTTAAGAAGACGTCTAGTAATTTCTATTGAAGAGGGGCAAATCGTATATAAAACTGATGTTTTCGTTGCACTTTCTTAAAAAAGTCATCAGTATACAATTGCAAATTAAAGTGAAGTAGAATGAATATTAATATTGAAGACCTTGATTAATTTGAATACAAGAAAAATTCATGAGTTAACTACGACACAAGATGTGTTATAGATACAACAATATATTTAGATGAATGGAGAGCGTACATATCTCTACCAAATGATGTTAATTATACTCATTTAACTGTCAATCATTCCGTTGGTTTTGTAGATCCAACAATCGGCGTGCATACACAAAATATAGAAAACACCTGGATGCAAGTAAAAAGAAAACAAAACAGCTTGTTAGCGCAGCCCCTTTGGGGTTGAAATGTGGAACTCACATATGCTCTCTAGTCTAACTTAACTAATATAAAATACGTAAACTGAAAAATCTCTCCTAGACTAAAGTTGTTTTGCAGGATAATCAATCGCAAGATTAAGAATCTCTCTAATTTCGAACATAATGTTCTTTAAACTTTTTTCTATGGGTGCCCTATTTTTTATTTGCATTGTTGCTATTCGCTCATTATTTTTTTATTTTTTTAAATTCATTTTTCTTAATTTATCATTCTTATTATTATAATCATTTAATTGATTGACAAATAAGTGTATTTTACATATCTATGATATCTACAGCAGACCTTGTACACTATCATA